ATATATATATATATATACACACATGTACACATATGTATATATATACACACATGTACACATATGTATATATATACGCACATGTACACATATGTATATATATATACACACATGTACACATATGTATATATATACACACATGTACACATATATATATATATACACACATGTACACATATATATATATATATATATATATATTTACACACATGTACACACATATACATATATATATATGTATATATAAATATATATGAGATATACCTGCATCCCTGAATGTCATTTGATAACATAGTTTTATTTCTGTAACTGAGTAGTTCATTCTGTAAAGATGTTCCTGAAAAAGGAAAAAAAAAAGAAACTCCTCTCCCTTGAACAACTGACCTCATTTAAAGTTAATAAGTGTCTTAAATGGTTTATTTGATGACTTTTTCAACAGAGCAGATTAAAATAATAATTTATTTAGTTGATAAAGTTCAGCCCTTCCATTTTGATTGGTTCAAATCGATCACCTCTTTCAGATCAGAGGTGTGGGCAGTTGTTTACAAGAGAGGAAGACCTCTCAGAAGATGATGAGAGAAGATGAAGAAAAGAAGATGATGCGAGAAGAAGATGATGAAAGAAGTTGAACAAGAGAAGACAGGAGGAGAAGGAGTAAGCTCTTAAGATACAAACTACAAAAAATTCCAAGAAGAAAATGAGTTTCAACTATAGCAAAGTTTGATAGAACCCTCTTCGGCACTCCAGACACCTGCAGTTATCATCAACAGAGTTAACAACCGCTGTCCAGAACTCCAGAAGACGCTCCGGTTGACCATTAGAGCCAGTGACCAAACTCATCACCTTTATGTCAGGGATGTGAAGGAATTTCTACCTTTACATGAAAAATCACCTCAGCAGAAAGAGTCCAACATCTGATATCTTCAGGCGGTCGACTCCTGGTAGGAACAGCTGATCTGTACTCTGAAGGTTGACTCTGGTGTCCAAGAATTTAGATGTTAACCAAATTAGTATTAACTCAGTTCAGTAATTATTTTTCCTTAAATCCCAGACCAAATTTTAACTATTGAATGATAAAACATCTTTCTTTTAGTTAAGTTTGCATGATTAATCTGCCCTGCTGAAATTCCAATTGTTCTACATTGTATCTTATTTTGGTTTGGTTAAGCACATAGAATAATTTCATTTATTTGTTAATTCCAGCTAACAAGCAATTTTTACGGTCATGTTAATTCCCATGAAACTCCGGTTGTGAACAAAGCCTTCATTTAAATGTCAGAAATAATTTCCAACATTTGTCTTTATCATATATATTCAAATAAACATCACAAAATTGTATTAAAGCACGTGTGCTTTACTTATGACATCTGAATCATTCATATAAAAGAACTCACGGTAATTAAACAATATTTGAATTGATTTTCAGACCTTCAGATTTTCTCTCAGAGCTGAGAGTGGTGCCCCTTCAAAATAAAATTCATAACGAATTTTTAATCATTATTAACCCTTCCCGCTACACTTTTGAATAACGAGGAATAAAACTCCACAGCTCTCCTCCTGATCTGGCTTGGCTCACTCAGCTGCTGCCCGGTGTCCGACAATAAAGAGTGGATGAGTTTTCTCTGCCCGTGTTTCCTCTCCAGGCTGAAGAAGAAGCTGGAAGGAGCATCCATCTCTGTGATGTTCTGCATCCGGGACCTGACCAACACGCCTTGGACTTTTGCGTCCAGCAGGTTTGTTAAAACTAACCTTTTAGATTTGAGGGCTTCATTGTACTCTCAATTTCCTGTGGTTTCACCTAGGTGCTCTAGTTCCGCTATATCGGTCTCCAGATTTTTTATAGATGTTGTTATGTTGCGAGTAACATTGAGTGTGTTGTTGACACAGCTGTTTTATTTGAACTTTCCCGTGGTCCCACCACTGTTGCAGACATGTAAAAATCACCCTTCCTCTGTCTAAAAACCTTCATAAAATAACTCAGAATCTCCTTAAAACTATGGTCATAAGTTAAAACAGTTAAAATGCCAATAGGCGCTCTTAGGTAAAATGTTTCTGATAAAAATACTACCTAAAACCAGCAAATGATCCGTAAAAGCTACTGGTAAAATCTGACAGGCTTTAAACATGTTAAAATGATGTTTAAAACAATAAAACCGGTCAAGGCGAGCCAAAGAAATGCGATTCTCCTTACAGTGGGACCACGTGTACTGTCTGGAGCCTGCATGCATCCTCCTCCATACATCCACCAGGCCATGAGATGAGACCAGTAGGGTGTGCTGGGCTGCTGGATGAGGCTCTGCGTGACTGCGGTCTAAAAACTC